TATACTTCCCACCTCGCCTGCCACAAGGCCTCGGTTGTGACCACGCTACTCGAGAGAGCTGGGAACTTATGCTCTAATGACACCGAGCGAAAGAAAGAGGAGGCCCGCGTAATTGCTGACCTCAGAAAAAACGGATACCCAAAAAACTTCATCCGAGCCACCACACGCCGCGCAGAGCAACAGAGGATACGAAAACACCAATCAACCTCAATTGGCAGCCCCCCCGAAACGCGTATTGGTTCCATACGTTCAGGGAACCAGCGAGATGTTAGCGCGGATCTTCAGGAAGGATCGCGCACGTGCCTTCATGTACGCTGGGCCGCCTCCTCCCCCGCCCGAAAAGACCAGCCGACAATAGACAGGCACCCCGGTGTCGTTTACAAAATTCCGTGTGCCGAGTGCCCCTCGTCGCATATCGGCGAGACGAAAAACCTACCGGAACGACTGAAGCAACATGCCAACGATGTGCGGAATTTCTACAAAGAGCGCAGCGCGGTCGCCGAACATGCTGACAAGTTGGATCACAAAATAAATTTCGAAGCGACGGCCATTCTTGAAAGCGAGCCGAACTGGAGGAGAAGACTCGAGTCGTGGCACATACAGAGGACAGCCCATAATATCAACCGCTCACTCGGAACTCTTCCCCCAGTGTATTCACACGGACTACGCTCCACTACAAAACGAGAGAGAGAGAGAGAGGGTCATTAGCCACCCCGCGAGTGCTTTGAAGACGACGCTGCTAGTAGCCTCCGCAGTCACCCCTGAGGAAGGAACCAAGTCGGTTCCGAAACGTCGGGTTTCTTCAAAACTTTTGGTTGGAGTCTAAACCATCTCTCAAAACCAGAGGTGCGATGGGGGCAGACCACTGGGACAGATGCACCTAGTGTCCCAGATGAAACGGTAAGTGTTTCTCAATTAATACTATACTGTTATTTGCATAAATAGATAATGCGTACCTTTGAGAGAAATGCAAGCACGTTTCTTTTCAAGTGTTGTAAAAAATAATTCAATAAATCTTAATGTCAAATTTGGAACGCAATGGCAGGGCAACGTATACCTTGGTGGTTAAATTTGTCCAGGTTTCATTTCTACCGCCTAGTCACAAGAACCGTCTGCAATAAAGTTTGTGTACAAAAAAATGAAGCAATTTTCAATTTAATATAACTTCATATTACTTTTGTTTTACACTCGGAAAAGAAGCATCACGAATCGCAAGAACGTGATCCACCTGAAGCAGATCCGAAGCCTGTAGTTCCCATCATTCCCACGCGGATAGAAACACCGCTGAAGGAGCCCACGTAGACGCTAGCGACATATTCCACTCTAGGTATTGTTATATGAAACTCTATGGTAGCAGGAGAACCGCTCTATGGGAATGAGTAGGATGGTTGCACTGCACGAGATATGTCACAAACCTACTATCCCTCGACATTGGTAGCATGTTTTCCGTAACTTTTCAGTTCTAATGCATCTCATGACATCAGTTTTATGAGGTGTTCATTCCAAACTCAATAAAACTAACAAGATGTCTTTCCTACGTTGAGGAATCAAAGCAATACAATCGAACAGCCTAGCCATTCCCAGAGTGGGAATGGGCTAAGTTTTTTTTCATTTCGATGAATTGAAAGGAATGGAATTAAGGAAAGTTCTGATTCCCCGGAATGGCATTGGAATGGAATGACGGTGCCCATTCCACAACACTGCTACAGAGTATTATAGGTGCAAAATAATTACTGTATGCCAGTCTTTATGCGTGCCAATCATCTAAGCACATCCAAAGGCATCGAACCAAGGTCGTTAGTGCTATTATGTTCCTAATGACTCGAGATCAACAGAAGTATACAAAGCCAGTGATCGATCCGTGCCTTTGCAATAATTTCAGTTAGAGTGCTTGAAATAGAACACTGCTCAAGTACTTTGCACAGCTTTTGAGAATAAACAAACCAGTGATTGAATAAACAAACTAGCAGTGACAATGGCAGTGCCGTTGTCACCAGGTAAAAAATGTGTGCGGCAAAACTTGAGTGATTGTCCATGCATGCAGCAGTCAAATGGTTCAAGAAATCATTTTAGTGAAGGAAGGACGCCGTCAAAGGTGTATATATGTTGCATTATCCTGGCAGTGCTAGCTGTTTCGATACTTGATTTGACCACTCATTCTGTAGAACTAGCACGAGCAAGCATATCTCACAGACATAGGCGGGGATAAACATAATATTATAACAAGCAACTGTGTTTTTCTTTCTTCTTTTCCCGAGTGCTGTAGCACCGCATCCAAACCCACACACACCTTAAAGCTCATAAGTATGCGTTGCTGGGATAGTTGGTTTATGGTCTTAAAACTTGGAAGCGCAAAATCGACGAGGACAGGAAGGAACACAGAAAGATAGGACAGGGTGCTGTCTTTCTGTTTAGAGGTTTTCGCGCGCTGCGTCGGGAGCGGGCGGACAGCACTCTCCAGGACAGCAAACTGTGAGCCACGCTATCTTTTCCGTCCGTCGACTCCCGTCCCTCGGGGCTCGTCGGACTTCGCTGACAGCGCCTCGCGCCCGAGGCGAACGCTCACCTTTTGTTGCCCCACTGCGTACTCACGGCCAAAGGGCGGTACGGTGTCCTAGTGCATGGCCTAGCTACGCCGACCCGTCTCCCTCCGAGGCCAACGCGAGCGCCTTTGCCCTCGCTCGAGCAACCGGGCCTTGGTCCCGGTGTCTCCGTGGATCACCTTTACCGTGGAGACGTGCTCGTGGCACCCTGTGTAGTACTTTGTGCGCGTGGCGTGGATAAGCCTACTTGCTTTCCCGCCGCGCCTTTGCAACGGGCTGTACTGCGTTTGGTGTTGCCACAATAAAGTGTTGCGACTCGAGCAGTACCGTGTTCTCGCCACGGCGACGTTTAACGCGTGCCCCGCGGCTCGCTAAGACCGGACCCACGCTGGTGGCCGTACTCCTTCGAAATACGTGTACACCACAAAGTTTTCAGACCTTAACGCTCGCACGAAGTAGCACATACAAGCGTATCGAAGACCTATAACAATGTGCAGCTTTTCATAAGTGCCTTTGCATCGCAAGTCATCTCGTTAACGACACACGCAAAGACACCAGTGCAGCTAATCACTCTAAAAACAAAAAAAGTGATTAGCAACAAAAGGCACAAAGTTTGGCACCTAACATACAAGTTTTCACGCGCTATGAAAGCCCGTTTGATAGCATGAACACCACCTAACAGTGGGCTTCTCTTGAGGTTCGGGCTTCTCTTGAGATTCAGTAACAAGAACACTGCCAGGCTTGCATCAGGGCTGTATCATGGCTGCATCAGCCCTGACGTGAGCCTAGCAGATTTCTTCCTGCCCCCAAAGCTCAAGACAAGCCTGGAAGGTCACTGTTTCAACGATGTTACCGGCATCAAATGGCCTACCACAGAATTCCTGAAAGAGGTCATGCCAGCCAAATTTTCAGGGAGCCATTAGAACTTGCATTGGGAGAGCTGTATTGAGGCTCAAAGAAACTACAGTCGACTCTCGTTAATTCAAACTCGAAGAAACTTCTGGATTTTGTTTGATTTATCAAGAAGTTTGAATTATCAGAAGTTCTCAGATATATGCTTCTGGGTGAGTTGACAACCCACATTATGGCTAGGCATTGATTTTATCATATTAAAAATGTTGAAGCATTTTTAAACCCTAACGGCAGGCAATGAACAGAAAACAGAGGTGTAAGGTCAACAAGTTTATCGGCCATAAACTGCTGATCAGACATTTTAAAGAAATCATGAATCGCCAACTGCTTCTTTGCTATATGTGCCTTCAACACAAAGCTCTCTATACCAGTTGAGAAGCATCATGGTTTACCATGCATGTGCTTAATTTCAAACATTTCTTTACTAGCAAAGCCTTTTTCCTTGAAGGCCTGAGGTGCTTATTTTTCATTTTTAGACTGTTAGGATTATACAAGCATGCAATTTGTAAATAGTAGTGGAAAACCAGCAGATATTTTCTGGTATCGTACTGCAATAAGTAAGAATTAACGGGGTAATGGAGTTTGAATCAAGAGGCTTTTAAATATATTGAAAGAATAGAGCGCCAACCAAAAAATTAATTTCTGCTTGAATTAACCAAAAGTATGAATTATCAGAGTTTGAATTATTGGGAGTCTACTATATTTCGAATAGTTTTAATATGGACCAATCTGATCATTCAGTTTAAGCTTGTTTGAATATTCTAGCACTTGGAATATTTGCACAAACGTTACAGTACTTGAATTCAATTCGAGTTTAAATTACAAGAAATTTCTCAAAATGAACGAATAGGTGTATATTAAACCACATTTAACACCCCTGTAAAAGTGGTTTCGCTGCATTGAAAGAATGCTATACCATGAGTACACCTATCAAAGGGAATTTGCACTGCCACAAAGCCCTACTCCATGACCTTATTACCCTCACATCGATTCATCATTGTTTAATGTTTAATAAGCTTGTTATCGTAGCTTATGTGTTTTAAGTATACTAAATTTTAAAACGTAACATATTTTACAGTCATCACGAAGCTCAAATCCCACTACTATTCAAAGTTGCTTCCACTTTGTTTGAAGCAAAACGAATGACATTGGCACATGTCTTGTCTCAATTTTTAAAAAGATATTGTGCAGGCTAGTTCGGTCATAAGAAATACGCTAATTTTTATATAATATGTGATTTATGCTACTCGAATTGAACTCGAAATGATTCGACTAAATCACTATTCACTTCGAATTCGCTTCAACCAAAAATTTACTAATTGCACAAGACTAATTAAGTTCTTTTTACTAGAGCCAGTCTTATTACTTTATGGACAACCCCTGTATTGCAGTTTGTATGCTCCCTGTACTTCATAGAAGCCTACAATATCAAGTCTGTTCGGACCAGCACCAACTGTGAATGACTTTGCAAGGTGCAGAAGAGCAGACGTGATCGGCTGCAATGAACGAACAGCCATAGCAATTAGCGAAGTCATTCAGGGTCACCTTCGGCCTCTCTTCCCGTGGCTTGTCGAACGCCGCTGACCAGGGTCACTGCCGAACCTAGGGTCCGCCAGCAGTGCTTGGGCGGCAGCGGCGACACCTCCTGTCCCTGAAGCCAGTCCACAAGCAGAGACTCCAACTTTTCGCAGTGGGGCACTACATTTACAAAAAGCCCAAGTTTTTGTTACACAGCAAGTTTGCAGCAGTTCTTCAATTTACAACTAGCCAGCTAAATGTAATCATAGCGTAGCATGGCTGAAAACTTTAGGAATTTTCATTAGCCTACAAGGGTGCTCAAATGCAGGACCACACTTGAAGGTTGACACAATATGGCTGTGAGAGCATGCATATAAGCAATTTTTTTTTCAATGCAACGCAATGCTCAGTCCACTTCATGAGCAGAGGAGAAGTTGCGCGACCAAAGTTATCTTGCCACCACCAGTTTACTCTTGAAACACACGCTGCTGTGCGTCTGTACCCCGGTCAAATCCCAATGCCATTCTTGAGCCGTTTGGGAGAAATAAGGCATTCTAACTGTATAATAGGTGCTTGATTCAATGGACACCTTCCAGACATTTGTTCATAGACAAAAACGAAAATGCCTATCATACACTCCTGAGAAATTTGAAACAGCAAGCTGCCGATATGGACAAGAGGCAAATACAACTGCTAGGCTAACAGTTCACGGGTTAAAGTGAACACCACTCAAGCTATACTTACACTGCACCGACATTCAAAACAGTTTCATCAATAAGTGCAGAAAGTTCACACCAGTGCAATCTACAGATGCAGAAGAACATCGAATGACGGTCGGTTTCATAAATCTGATCTTGCTACCATGCTACATCACACATAATTAAACTACCAAGGTAGTTTCGGTTGAGTATTCTAAAGTGATTTGTTTCGGTTGAGTATTCTAAAGTGATTTTAGTTATTTCTTTGATCGAGCATGGACTGGCGAAACCAGTGGTCAGAGTGTATGCATCTGGAGTGAAGAGTCTCGGCAGACACGTGTCATAGGAAAGCCTACCACATCCATACATGTAAGAAACGCCATTTTCAAGTGAATGTCGCCTATAGTGGACTGCAAGACCTGGTAGTATCGATGCAGCAGTGAAATTACATGTGCATTTACATGATCTAGAATTCGCTCTTTTGTTCGTGGTCACCATCATTCTCAGCCTGTTAATGTCCACTGCAGGGCAATTATCTCCAGTTTACCCCGTCATGTGCGGGTTAATTCCATTTCACTGCTGTGAACCAGGAATGCACTAATATTTGAAATGTCGAATACTGTCTGGTTAGTGTCTGCTATTCGATTCGCACTGGAATCTTACTGTTCGAACTGTTCAAACTTTCCGAAGACTAATACAGTCACCTTATTGATAGTGGGCCCCTTCAGATTTCTAATATGCTTCACCACGTCACATTCTCATATTGCGAAAAAAGCTGCTTTGCAAGTTAAGCTACGGTCGCAAGTTTGTATTGATTCAAGAATTTCACGTGCAAAGCGTTGTCAGCAACACTTTGGTTGCACCAACTCATGTACATAAATACAATTCAACCTTTGCATTGACTCATTCTTGATATGACAGCCATGAAACACAACTTCGCTAGCACTTGATCAACCTATCCAAAAGAAACACTTTCATGTAGTTTCATCATAGGAATATGCTTAGGGATCTTCTTCAACTTTTTTTTTGTAACTTCACTTTGAAGTCTTCGTCAAATGTTTCGTTCAATTAGCACTCACATTTCCATATTCAAATTTGCTCTGCACCCAAAATTTAACTATTTGCACAGCTCTACTGTGAAGTTTCTTAATTTCATCGCTCTATCTAACCCTCTGCCTTCCTCGAATGCAATTCCTCATCGACCATTCTGTTGCCTTTACTGTCCACTGGCTATCCATCCTACGCATTACGTGGCCAGCCTAGGCCCGTTTTTTTCGCTTGATGTTAACAATGATATTTGCTTCCCCAGTTCGTTCCCCAATTCCTTCTGCCGTCCTTTAATCTCTTACTGTGTTATGTTAGAACTGGCAGTACAGATTGGTTGTATACTTTTCCCTTTAGTGACAGTGGCGGATTTCCTTACAATATATGGGAGTGCCAGCCGAATTCCCACCAGCATGTTCTTATTACTATTCAATTAATCTCCCTTTTCGTGGTTAGCCTTTACTGTTAGTACTTGCCCCCCATGTATAAATATTCTTGTATATATTCCAATGTATGCTTATGTTCACTTCTGGCCGACAAACAACTTGTATGACAACTAAACAACCAACATGAAAACACAATCAAACTGCTTTGACATGTAGAATCTTATGATGCATCCCACAGTACAATAGCGTCATGCATGTTTCTTAAAGTGACATGCAAAAAAGAAGAGCGATTATCAATAAACATAAACAAAAAAGGGCTTTTCAAGGAGCATATGAAGAAGTTTTCGTGCAGCACTCACAGAGGAGTTCTTTGGCATCAGTTTCGTAGTCCATGGCATGTAGTAAGTGCCAGAATGCATCCAAGGAGTCGTACTTTTCTCGTGAGCTGCCCAGCAAGAACATCAAAAGTAACTTTCAACCTCAGATCGTTGTGGTAAGCCCAGCTTAAAGCAAGTTAGTGAGTCATTTATAACTAATCACCACTTCTTGGATCCCTTTATCTTTCCAAACATTTAATTGAAAATTTTATTACTCATCAATCAATGCAATCATCACCAATCAAAGGAGAAGTTATTGTACTATAAGATGCGTATACAAATATTCGGTCCCATGGCATAAGCAGTTGGTGATAGGTCCAATAAAAAAAAAAGGTTTACATGAATTAGCAGTCTTCACAGAAAAAAAAACAATAATGAAAGTATCATGATAACTGCAAATGTTATACACATTTCAAAATCATACTGAAAACAATGAACACCCTAAATATATATAAGAAATTTTTTGAGAAAAAGAAAGAACAATAGAGAAAATATTGCCATGTGTTTTTCCTATTTCAATATTGCTGTATTCGGTTTTCACCTACACAAAATGTAAGCAATGCTCAGCACAAACCATGCCTTCAGTATCTTAGAAGCTTCTGGACTCTACAAGATCATTTTGTTACGACAGCGTGCTTTACACAAACATTACAGATTCTTCTAGAACATATTTGGCCACTAGCAATAACACTGGAATATTCAACAGTGCATGTATAAGTGCCCATGCGCATCACAGCCTGTCAGTTTTATCAATGGCCTACACTCTATTCACTGTTATCAGTGCCAGTGTGTATTGCTTTAGTCTGACCTTCAGTTTCCGGGCCACAAGTTCAGCCAAATAAAAACTTTTTTCTTTGACACACCAACTGTTGCTTTCGTTGACGTCACGACCATGTGACATCTGGTGGAGGTGCTGCTCCTTCATGTTTCAGATGCCCCCGTCAAAAAAAATGCCCTCAGTCACCAAAAAGAAACGGACACCCCCAAGGAGAGTCGAGCTAGCCGCAGACTACAAGGACTGCCGCCACAATTTAGACTCCTGGCTGACAAGCCAAGCCCCGCGACGACAAAGACGACATGCATCATGACGGCCGCTGTGTCATTTCAACGAGTCGTCATGAATCGAATGAGGGAACCACCGACCTTCCGCAGATCCCCATGTGAAGACCCGAAAAGCTGGCTGGAAAGATATGACTGTGTTGCTCAATTCAATAACTAGAACTGTGACGAGAAGCTCCATCACGTATACTTCGCCCTCTAAGATAAAGCCAGGACTTGGTTCAAGAACAGAAAGGCCACCCTCATGACATGGGATCTATTTTGCACCTCATTCCTCGGAACCTGCACGAGTGTCATGAGTAAGGAAAGGGCAGAAACCCTGCTCAAAAGCAGTGTACAGCTCCCGCATGAGAGCGTCGGCATGTGCACCGAAGAAATGACCCGCCTGTTCCGTCACGCCGACCCCGCCATGTCTGAGAATAAACTCCGGTTCCTAAAGCGAGGAATAAAGCAAGAGCTTTTTGCGGGACTTGCACGACCTACACGACTTACACGATTTCCCCAAGGGTGTCGACAAATTTCTGACAGAGGCTGAAACAATAAAAAAGACACTTGAGATGCGAACAAGGCAGTACAATCGCTGCTCACCGACGACTGGCTATGCCAAAGTTCGACCCCTCAGCATCAACAACCAGCGCAAGACAATCCGAGCGATCACGCGAAATAAGCAGCGCAAGCTGTTACCCTTGACGCAACCTCAAGTAGATTCGATCGCCGACATTGTCCACGAGGAAGTTCGGCATTCACTTGGAATTCCCAATGCATCGCTGCCCCAGCTAGAAGCTATGAGCTATGCCGCTGCACTGCACCGCAATGCTCCTCCACGCCTGCGTCAGGACACTGCTCCACCACAGTTCCGCTGCCAGACACGACTAACGCAACCATTATTCATGCCCTATCACCCTCCTGTCAGCCAGTGCTATGCGCCATGAAAAACCGATGTTTAGCATACTTGTGACAACTGTTCGTTCTGCTACCACAGGGGAAAGGCCAGTCACACGTCACACCTACTGCTGTTGCCAGTACCAACAGATGGGTATACGGGGGTTTTGACATCAACGCGCCGTGTCCATGATGAAATGAACAACCGCACAACATCGCTGACTACCTTGCAGGAGCACAGCGGGCAGCCTGACGACCTTGCCTTTCACTGTCACCTGGCTGCTATGCCTCACCGTATCGCAGGCAATGCGCCAGCCCTGCTCGGGACCAATCTCCAAGCCCTTACCGGGAAAACAAAGGGCAGAAAGCAATAGAGATGCGGTTATCGTACAGTGTAACGCTGAATATCCTCTGCCGCCAACGCCCCAATGAAATCTTAAGAGCAAGCCGCAAGCAGATGGTCCCTGTACGACAAAACTTTGCCATTAGAAGACGTGACAACACCACGTAGAAATAGTCGAGCAAGCCAACATGGCCCTGATCCATTGCCGCGACCCAACCGCGGCGCATAGCGATGAACAAGCTACTTCGATGTTTTCATTGACAAAGCTAAAGAAAGTAAAGACCGCTTATACTGGACCCAAAATACGCACAGCTGGAGGCCACCAGACAATGCCGTTCTGAGCTTGCACAGCAAGAGAGCCACCGTCGATAACTGGACGTAATCTGCGAGTTTTGCCATTCTACAATATTGCTCCAGGAATGTGATACTTGGGATGAGATTCCTAAGCTACCACGGTGCCATTATTGACCTCAGGTCTTAGTCATTAACACTAGTCACAGAAAAAGCGCTGCAGCTGCACACTCCATCAGAAAAGCATGCCTTGAATGTGCAGACAGACCAAGCCACCATTCCTTTCTCGCTCCAGAGTCAGCATTTTCGTTAGCACTCAGAAATGAGCAGACATGCAAGGCGTCGTTGAAGGTGATCAGCACCTGTAGATGAAACACAATATTTGCGTCGCCAGAAGAATAGCCGAGCTGCAAGGAGGGAATGCAACAGTTACGCTCACGAACTTCTGCAATGAGTACAAGCACATTAGCAAAGGCAGGACGGTTGCCTACATAGAAAAAATACTAAAAGCCAGCAATGCTTTTACCCTCACTGAATCAACCGAACCTGCTACAATGAACCAAGCTCATCAACTAGCTTTCGGCGCTAACACGGGCTTTCCGATGCATAAGCGAAAACAGCTCAGAACTCTGCTCCTGCAATATAAGGAGAGTTTTTCATCGTCGTAAAACATTCGACAGACCCATGTCACAAAACAAAAAAATGTAACAGAAGAAAATGCTAGGCCACTCCGTCATAGCCCGTACAGAATGTCGACGGGAGAATGTGAGGCCATGAAGAAACAAGTCGACGAAAAGCTATGGAACGACATCATCCAGCCTTCAAATTGTCCATAGGCAGCACCCATGGTGTTAGTCAAGAACGGAACCCTACGCTTCTGCATCGACTATCCGGTGCCTGAACAAAACCATGAGGGATGTGTACCCCCTCCTACAAATAGAGGACACCATAGATAGACTCCACAACTCGAGTTCCTTGCATTGATGGACCTCAAAACTGGCTATAGGCAAATCGAAGTCAATGAGAGAGACTGAGAGAAGACTACCTTCATAACACCGGACGACCTGTTCGAGTTCAAGGTCATGGCTTTGGTCTTTGCTAGGCACCAGCGACTTCCAAGAGTCATGAATACAGTCCTCGCTAGCTTGAAGTGGCAAACTTGCCTGGTTTACTTGGACGACACCATCGTGTGTTCTCGTGCTTTATCGAACACCTTTAGCACCTTGAAACCCTACTTCAAACAATCAGGAGCTTCGAACTCACTCTGAAGCCAGGGAAATGCCGCTTAGCTTGCAAGGAGCTCTCTGTTTTGGATCATGTGATCAGCAAGACTGGAGGGCGCCCAGAGCTACAGAAAACAGCTGTCATCGCCACCTTCCAGCCAGCCCACCGACAAGAAGGCCGTGTGCAGAATTCTCAGCTTGTGCGCTTATTGCAGACACTTCGTCACGGGCTCCTCACGAATCGCCGAGCCACTAAGACTGAGATCAAATTCAAGTGGGAAGCGACGCAAGTTGAAGCATTTCATGAACTGAAACGATGCCAGCAGACGCCTCTGATACTTTCAAATTTTGACGAATACGCCGATACGGAAATCCACACCGACACAAGCAGTGTAGGGCTCAGCGCTGTTCTTGTGCAGAAGACTAATGAAAAAGAAAAGGTTATCAGTTATACTAGCTGGCCACTATTGAAGTCATAAAGCAACTATTCCACAACAGAAAAAGAGTGCCTGGCTATTATCTTGGCTACATCAAAGTTACACCCCTACCTCTACGGAAGGCCCTTCAAAGTTGTGAGTGAGCACCACGCCTTGTGCTGGCTAGCTAAAATGAAAGACCCTTCGGGTCGTCTCGGTGATGGAGCCTGAGACTTCAAGAATTTAACGCCGCTGTTTACAAGTCCGGACGAAAACGCTCTATGCCGACTGCCTGTATGCTGTGCTTCTGTTGACCCACCAGCGCAGAATAACGAGGACAGTGACTACTACTTGGGAACCTTAAGCACTAATGACTTCACTGAACGATAGTGAGTCGATCCAGAACTCAAGCACCTTGTAGAATACCTCAAGGGCGTTCAGAGCTACTATAGCAAGTGCTGGAGTCGTTTTTCTAGCATAATTGCATTCTCCTAAAGAAAAACTTCTCGCCACTTTGGGCCAACGATCTCCTCATAGTACCTACAGCGTTAAGTCCAGAAGTTCTGGATGGTCTGCAATGCGACCCAACGGCTTGACACCTCAGATTTTCCCACACGCTCGCGAGGATACAAGAAAAGTGCTACTGGCCTCGCCTTAGTCCTGACGTCACCACTATGTGAAGACTTGTCGATATTGTCAGCAACGAAAGACAGTGCTGACAAGGCCAGTCGACTTTTGCAACTGATCGAGCCACCTCACCGGTCAATCCAGCGAATCGTCATAAACTTACTAGGCCCTCTCCCGATACCTAATTACAGAAACAAATGAATCGTCATAGTGCCACAGAAGTCCTTATAACTGAAGGTACGGCCTTTACTGCGGACCTCATTTAGGCGATCCTGAGGTACAGTCGGACAAGGCACAAATGGATCGTTGTAGCCACTGACTATGTCACCCGCTACGCCAAGACAAGGAACTTGCCCCCAAGCAGTGCCGTCAAAGTAGCGAAGTTTTTCGTCGAGAACATCGTCCTGCATCATGGTGCCCCGGAGGTTCTTATTACTCACAGATGTATGGCTTTTATTGCGGACCTCATTTAGGCGATCCTGAGGTACAGCTGGACAAGTCACCGCCGGACCACCGCCTACCACCCCATAGACCAACGGCCTCACCAAGCGTCTAAATAGGACCATCACCGAGATACTGGCCATGTATGTCGACGTCGAACACAAGACGTGGGCATACAACATGGCCATACAGGACACTATACAGATGACGTTGCACAACTTGGTCTGCAAAAGAAACCGGGCAACGATGCATGACACAATGCTGCCCAACATCACTGACGAAGAAAACTTTGATGTTCCTCTCTACCTTCAGCGCACTGAAAAAGCTGGACAACTCTTCCGACTGCGCATCAAGAATCAGCGAATGACAGACAGCCACCATTACAACCTTCAACGACGCTTCAAGGAATACCAGCCTGGCGACTGGGTTTTGGTGTGGATGCCAACACAGCGATGTGAACTTAGTGAAAAGCTTCTTCGTCAACAGTTCAGTCTATACACGGTGCTTCGACGTCTTGGTGCTCTAGACTACGAGGTTATCCCGGATGGGGTTACCTTGTAGTCAGTGGCATTTGGTCAGGACCATACTTTCTCAGTACCCCCACCCCTCACACACAAACCACCCCAATCATGCAACTCTGACTTCCACGTCTAGCAAATAATAGCTGTACGTTCAATTCTATAGGAATGCTTCACAGTAGCTTTCGAGTTGTAACCCTTGTTTGGCCCTTCAAGTGAGAATGACAACGCACCTATCACACTCTCGTGAGAGCTTTAGCTGTCAGAAAGACCACTGGAATAAGTCCCAAATTTGCACTCACCTCAAGTAGCTAGCAGCCGTGAAAAGTGCCTCAATAAAGTTCCCATTTGCACACACTGTGCACATCTCCGAGTCTTCATCCAAGACACAGTCCAGGACTTGCAGGGTAATTTTGAGCAGCTCCTCTGTGGTGAACAGCAAGCAGATGCATGCAGTGGTCAGAGTATCGCAGCAGGTCAAAGACAGCACTAAGGCAAGTAATCTATCAGGTACTCAGGTCATCGCACGAGCATGCTACCTTCTGGAACGTTAGCTTGTATAATCCAAAATGTTAATGTAGCCCTGCCCTACCATGTCGGTTCTGTACATGTGTACCCTGGGGTTATTTATAAATGGTGAAGGTGGCAGCAGTGCCAAATGCAAATGTTGCAAAAAGATGTAGACATGCCTTACAGTGAAGAAAAGTAAATGCATTACGACAATGAAATGTCCCAACCGTGGAAAACAGGACGCTGTTCCCAAGAGCAGCATTTAGCACACAACCGTTTCCACAAATTATATTCAACAAGGCTAGCATAGTATTATTTATCAGTATTTTTCTGAGCAAACACTGCCATATGCATGTACAGCTTGAGTCAAAAATTTACAAAGTGTAGTTTTCGTAAAGGGCTGTATTCATGCACAGTCTTTTAGATTTAAATTTTTACTATACCAGCATATGTAGAAACATGTTTAGACAGATGTTTTACACATAAGGAGGTACCATGGTCAGCAACTGTACGAGACCTCTATATAAAACTACTTAACGTGTAAGAACTCACCGTAACAAGAGAATTATTTAAGCCATATCATGTAATTAATTACTGCCCCACTACACCACCAGTAAAGCAACTATTAATGTGAGAATAAGCTTGGTGAACCACAGTAAAAGGAAAAACAAAACAGTTGTAATGATACCAGTTCCTGTAACAGGTCTCTACAATTTCATAAATACTGATGTAATCTACTTGAGTTTTTTTATTGGTTAATATTGAATTAACTGTATATACCTTAAAAGAGACAAATACGAAACATTCAATGGATGTTACAAGAACTACAATGGCCGAAACGCCATGAAATCATTAGGGATCCAAAAAGTCACGCTGACACACAGGCACTGTGGCTTAGGCTAGAAATTGAAATGACAGACCTTTGACCCCCTATTTATCTCACGAGAATTTATCCATTATTGCAATATCTAATAAGGATAGAATCTTGAATTAATTCAGTTTAGTGATATAAACTGAATTGGTATCCTCTTTTAGTTACCCTTCCTTAGAAAGGACATCGCAGCACTTTGTATGGCTGTAACAAAGACAATGACACTCTATAATATCCTTGATAATTTCAAGCAACAATTCAAAGCAGCAATCTGAAAGGAAGGCAAGAAGTCAATATTTTTCAGTTTAAAAATCTTCAGTTTTTCTAAAACCTCACACCCTCGCATCTTTTGAGGCCAACTTTACTACGCAATTGAAAGAACAGGTTTCACGGCTATGTGATCTGCCCTTTGTTTTACCAACATATCTTAACTACAACCAGGTGCCGCTATGCTTGAATGCCCTATTCAAGATGAACAAATAGTAATAAACTACACATATCAACATAGCAATAATGCATTTCTCTGCCTGTGACATGCAGTTTAAGACATGGAATAAAGGGTTCAGTTAACAAGATCTTTGCTCAAGCTGCAAACAATTTTGAAATCTAATGCACATGCACTTTGCACTATGAAAGACAAAGCATGCAAGAACACTTGTCCTTAGATATGTACTACTATCAAAACCTACAAGCTCGATGGGTACTAAATAAAACAAACTGAGTTCACAGACAATCTGGCAAGTTACGAACCTTACGTGCAGAATTACGTTTTCGCAAAGTCCGTGCTTGCTGTCAACAGAACAATAATGACCACTGTTAGGAACACCAAAAAGTGCAGCTATCAACAGATGCTAGGCTAAAAGAAACAAGACAGGCAGTGTGCAATCAGTGCATGCATGACTTGCCATTGATGGAGTTTTCCAAGATGAATGTTATGCCTGAAAGGACAGCTGTCAGATGAACGCATGGCCTGAAGCCAGACGGGCAGCGACTCTTTATTTGACAGGCATGTGTGGCAAAGTCTGCCAAAAAAAAAAAAAACAGAACTCATTTTACTCAGTAGCAGAACAAGTCGTGAAGAAAAAAATTTCAACATTCGTTCTTTTTACTAACTGCTCACAAATACATAACGTGTTCCTTATTACTTAATTACAGCCCACTTGCCCCCTTATCCCTTAGTGCAAGCATTTCATGGCTAACACTGACTCCTGGCACTAATTTGGCACTTCATATGAATATTTCTGTTCATTTAATCTATATTTACTTATTGCTAAATTTGCACTAGGCTATGTAACTTATTAGTACTATTAAATCCTTGAATTACAGACCTCAATGAAAATCGCTTATTTTATAGTGACCATTATCTACTGTAACATTCACGTTCACCTCATCATGGAGTCCTTCATATGATTCGTAAGTTCTTACGACATTTCTGCTGCAATTAAGCTTGCTTGCATAGTGTTGCATGTGCCACTATTTCAACTCTTATTTTCAAACTCAAGTATTTCACTCCGAACTTAAACTTTTTACTAGTAGACACTGAACCTGTGTGCAAAAACAGGACAATTAAATTACAACAGACCAAGTTAGGTGTATCAGGAACAAGCTTTAGGAACGCTATTTACTTTGCATGGCAATACCTACAAGCTGCCATGAATGAGTAAATGTTCAAAGAAAGAAACAATGTGTGACAACTCTTTGAAGATCTGTGGCTTGCACATATGTGTATACACTCAAAAGCCTATAAGAGGCCAAGAAATTTATTTTACAACATTGCAAATGTCTGTGCTAATAGACATGCAACCAAAACAAGACAACAACATTCCCTATCGAACGGTACAAGCACTGTCTCACCTCAACACCTGAACCAGAGTGGGCGTGTCAGTTCCGCCTAGCAGTTGCATAGCCATTTGCCTGCGCAAGAGGTATATACACCTCACAACCAAACAAGTCACAATTGTACGTCGATGACAAAGTGCACGAACGTAGGTTATACTCACAGAATACCTTGCTCCTTAGATAGAGCCAAGCTGAGGTCAGGGAATACAGCCATGTTTCCCAGTATTCCAATTAAAATTTCCTATGTCAGCAGAATAACAATGGGGTTAGCAGGCAAGCAATGTTCCAGGTAAAAATCACCATCCGTAGCAGCAGGATCCATTGATGTTCACGTCACTATCCCCGTAACTGCATCAGCTGATGCCATCCCATCCTGGCTAATTTCTGAAGCTCATTCTCCAATCTAAATCTCTGCTGCCTTCAAGTACAGTATCATTGTAGAGGAATTTGTCGCTACACCTTAACTGGAGGAATGCTCGGCGAAGGGACGTGAATGCTACAAGAGTCGCATTCACGTCCCTTACATGCGGTAACTTAAAATATTTTGAGTTACATGCGGTAACTCAAAATAAATTTACTCACGATTTTCACCACATGCCGTCTTGTCTAAAGCGACAGGATAAGTGTGGTGTCGTGTGACGAGTTTCTCTAGTTGTGCTGTGTTTGCACTATGTCCTGCGTTACGATGCCACATCAAAGAGCTCCACTGACGACGGTGCATTTTTCTTTCCCCCATGCTCACGCAGCTATTCTGATCTGTACAACGTGTTACATAACTTTCCCTATATCATGAAAAGGTTGACTTGTCAGATGGTCAATCGCGCCATTTGTATGTGTTTAACTTAGTTGAAGAGTACATGCTTTGATAAAAAAAAGTTACTCTGCCCTAAAAGTCACTGCTGGAGGCAGCCAACATAAGTGTGGGCCGATTTTAAAAAATGGTTTTTAATCTTGTGTAGACATTTTTTGATAAATTTAAAGGCATCTAAGTAACTTGAACATGATGCTATGAAGAATGATGCAACAAGAGAAGTTTTGTAAGTAAATTATAGTAAAATGCATTAATACGCCTAGTAGCTCACCACCAGACGAGGTGACTTAGAAGTGGAGATGATCTGCAGGAAAATCTCGGAAGCCTTGAATTCGTGCAGGAAATGTGCAACATCCTGTCAGGAAGAAGGCAGTGCAGTCACTTGCATCTAATCAGTTCATCACAGCACAGAACTGCAATGCTTTCGCTATTGCACCGCTCTGAAGTAGGAGCCCTCTACTCACTTTAGCTGAAAGACCTGTCACCTTCGTTTACCCCACAAAGCACCCCAAAAAGATATGAAAATGGAACCAATGCTTTAAAAGAGGTCCAGAATCAACTTTCCGATGGAGGTCTCAGAACTGTATTGATAGAATAGGGTTCCCCAGAAATAAATTACTGAAATAAACATTTTTATCCCCTAGTATGAATGCAAGGTGTCAAAAGCCCTATTTTTCTATCATCCACACTCTACTTTCCTGTTCTGAAAAAGTGGTATGGTGTTGGCCTACCAATGGCTTGGAACGTCATTTCCATTAGAACATTGGACTCGTTACGCTATTCGCATTATGCGACAACTGTTGTTCTTTTGCTGTTTTAAAATGCTTTATAAGTCCTATTAAAGTGATTGTTTTCCCGACATCAAGCTCGTCTTAGGCAAGTTTGCCAACAAGTCCCAAGCACCGGCGGGGCTCAGAAGTAGAATACTGGGCTGGCACCAAGCGTACCAAGGTTCGAGCCCCACTGTGTCATTGGTACTAGGTTTTTTTTTCTAATTTTGTGCGATGTGGTTACGTACACCGGCAGCGGACAACTATAGTGCCGCACGTGATCCAAGTTTTGATTTCACAACAGATTTCGCAGTAATAGACACACAGTAACAGGTGGAAGGAAAGCACTGATCCAAATATCTTGTTTGGGGAAAAGGTCCAGACCAACCAATGACAGCTCGCGATGACAGTCTGCCATGTGCCATCACAAGACAGCCACTGCCAGTCGCACCAGCACGCTGTTTGAAATTAAGGTGTTTAAACTCTGCAATCTGCTTATGAAGTTTGTGTTCGGCTACAAAATACGACAGAAATGTTCCCATGCCTGTTGTCCATCTGCAGAATGTATTTTCACATCAAGCCCAGAGGGGGTGATTAAGGGGCCATTTAAAAAGCTCAAGCATATGAGAGAAAGCAATTATCTGTTCCATATGAAGAACCTAAGAGTTGTAAGAACCCGGCAAGCAATTGCATGCAAAAACTTACGGAGTTGGCAGCCATGTCCCAAACCGTGCAGAGCTCTTCTTCAACCTCTCTGTCCAACTCCACAACCTCTTCCTCTGTTAATACCTGCTCACCTTCACCACAGGCATTCTCATTTTCAGCGGCCTAGGTCAGGATGACCCAGAGAGAAGCAATGACGTTTGTCAAGAACGCAAAAGAAAAACTGGCAGCACATATTAGATCAGGGCAAATGGAGTAAACTTTCAACATAACCAAACTCATGCTCGAATCTCGTGCACCTATATAATGAAGAGTTACAATTGGTACGCAGGTTTAGCTGCAGTAAACATTTAATGTTATAATTAGAAGGCTAGCACTGATGTCACTGAAACGGTTACGTTGAAACACCAAAATTGTGGGATGCAAACATTGTGATGTTACATTTGTGTTATTGGTAAATTGCATGCTGGTTCCTTCGTTATTCATGCGCAGAGGCCCAATAACGCTCCAGCAACGTCGTTTATTCCAGCTTAAGCAGGCTGACCGCCGTGTGATGTCTTGACATATAATCTAGGCTGCTGCCATGTTGTATGCCTATGACATTAGGTGCAAGCTGTCATATTGCTTCAAAGACGTATTTTGCATGTGCATGTTAGTTCATGTGCATGCAAACATGCACAATGAGACTTTCTATTATACGCATGTGCAGAAAACACAATGGCAATGCAGGCTTTCGCAGATCCTTCGAGTGATTTTCGGTCTAACGAAGTTTTCGATTAAGCGAAACTATCATTAGTCACAGTTGAAACCTGTCCATTAGGTTTAAATCCACGCGAGAACAACTTTTACAAACGTAAGCCTTGAGCAACAAGCAAGTTGAGCTCTTAACAGGCACTGCGGTGTCACGTCACACAACTTAAACCGAACATGTCAACAACTCACTCTGATAGCTTTCAGGAGGCACTGAAACAGCCAGTGTCGGCTAAACACAGTTTCGCCTATCCTGTCTCCGCTGGAGATTTCGTCAGCTTCTCGGATCTCCGGTGGGGGCGACGGGTTTCTCTCTGGAAGCATATGTGGGAATCACCAAATACGTCTGAAAGCTTTTCAGCACAAGCTGAGGAGCGGTGATGCATAAAATTACCTGTATCGTCCATCATCACAGCAGTGCTATCTCGCCGACGACGCTCATCGAGGATATGCAACACGCCAAAAGGGATAGTCACTTCGGTTGCGATAAGCAACAAAGTCCTGCACGGATGTCAAACGGAAGCAACAACCCAAACACGAAACGCGCGTCTAGCGAGGCGCGTCGCTAAGTGACGGGCGCCGCCATGTTGAATACACAGTGAACTCGCCTTCGTTACCTTTGTACAATTTTTTTAATAAAAGACCGAAAATTACGTTGAACTCAACTAAATAAAAAGTGACGCGCATATGCGGTGGTTATTTTAAAGTGCAGGTGACAAATATTAAAATATTTGTTTTTGTGCGTTTTTAAAGCCAAAGTTACGTCATAACAATGCACATAAAGCCGAGTCAAGTCAAGTTGCAAGTTTGTTTACGTTTGTTACCGCACATGTGGTTCTGTGTTCGGAAATGATCGGCAAGGGAGTAAAATACTTAATATGGTTCGCCCACGAACATGTGCCCTTCAGAATGCCTGTGAGTTCATTAAGGCACGTTTCCTGTCTTTCTGACTTGCAACATTTCCCTTGTTTTCTTTGCTTAGGAGCTCGATGCGATTGCATCGATGTTTGGAATCGCTGTCAAGTTCATAGAGCAGCCGAAAAATGAGGTACAGTTTTGTGGGCCAAATATTTTTTAATAGTTACCATAACGCAAACAATTTATTTGCTTTCTGTTCCACAGCCCTACGCTATCGTTGAACTGGCGTCCGAAGAGGATGCAAAGAAACTTGCGTCGCGAAGCGTTTTGATACGGTACGTTTCAATTTTCTCTCTCTCTCAGGATTATATTGGCCTGTATTTGGGTCCTATTCATTACACTGTGCAAAAGTCGTTTCTTTCCACTCTCATAAGCTTCACCGATTTCTCTCGTAGGTCCATTGTCGAGCTGTGGGCTCATGCTGGTGACATTGATGATGTGTGTGACCAGGTGAAGAAGTTCCCGGTGAAATTCTGGGTGGGTAGTTTGTTCATTTATATCAATATTACTGTATTGAACTGTTTATGTACGTGCTTAAAACAGCATAAAAAGTCAAGGCCTCTGATCGAGACCCTTTCTCTGATGTTTGGTGTTATTTCAGGACGCCTACGGTGGCGAAGACCAGTCCTTCAAATTCAAGGTTGAAATTTTCGGCAAAAGAAAAGTGCCTAGGGAAGTCAAAGTGGAAAAGATGGAGGTAAGTGTTTCACTCTGTTACAGATCGATTTTTATGGTGAGTTCTGTATCTTGTTCTCGATAACTTGTCTTTCTTCTTGAAAACCCACGAAAGGAGTAGAACAAGTAGTGTTGAAGATCCCAAAACGTGGCTGCGTGCCGTCATAAAGACATATTATAATTTTTTTCGACACAAAATTAAACAAATTCAGAGGGAAGCGTATGCAGCCAGATACCCACTAATTGAGCAATCGAGTTTTTTATGACTTATTTACTGCCAGAAAGCACACTTTTGCTCTTCTAGAGGCGTGATCTATAAAATCGGGAACGGAAACACACAGATAAATGTTCGTCGTGCTGACGCCATAATGAGAAGTTTTGTAGACCCAAAGCATCTGCTGCAGAGTACACAAATTTTCTCGCATGAGCTTGCAACATGCGGCCGTGGCTGACACTGCACTGTTTGAACATGCATTGCACGACTAAATTTTATGCTGCATGTCCAGGAAGTTTCAAAAATATTTTGGGCAGATCCCACTAGTTGTGGGAATCGGATTTTTGCAAAGAACGTGCGGGATATTTAATTTCATCTTGATGACTGCTGAAGAGCTGTTTTCTCTGAGTGAGTTATGCTGACAATATGTTTAGTGTACCGGCCGAAATAATTACATAATTCTAAAAGTATAATTCACATTCATTTCGTGTTTCTGCAATATGCCAATGGTGGCTGAGTTGCTCTGTTGAGGATGAGATCTGCAGGCATTGTCTGCTTTCGCAAATCTGTAGGTTGATGATACCAAGTATTTATTTTTGCATGAATGGCATTTTGTTTCATTATCGCAAGCCATCGTTTCAATGGGTACACATGTTTCTCTTCTTGTTCTATTCTTATCGCATTTTTATGCCTCCCATTACCCATGCATATGTGCAAGTGTTTCTATGGCTAGATGTAATGTAATAGCGCAATTTAGTGACCTTTTTGTGCTGTTGTTGCTGAGATTTATTATTCTAGCAGGCATTTTTTCAAAATCCTGCATGCGCATTGATACTCTTGCACTTCTTATAATGAAGGTAATCACAAATAAGGTTATCTTTAATACAAGCTTGCAAGTAAATATTGATAAAATCATTGCTAAGGGCTTTATTTACCTTGTAAATTTTTATAATGAATGCTTAGTGTTCTCAGATTACAGACATAAAAAAAAAAACTAAGGGACCTATGGAATTTCGAATTTTTATTGCTGGAATGCTGTTTCAACCAAAAAGACATAGTAAAAGCAAAGTTACAAGACTGCCATACGTACTAATCCGAAAGGTCAACTTCCAGGTTTCACGTCTGCCTTACAGCCCAAGCACTGTTTGTTTATTATTTTCTCTCTGCTGTGACAAGAAGAAAAACCTAATTAAACTGAAAAAAGAGCCCTGGGTTGGCACAACCTAGGTCCTTACGTTATGGTAACAGCAGTGAATCAACGGGGCGACTTCACTGACAGTGACACAACCTTTCTAGCATTTCTTTCAGTGCATTCTATGAGATGCAAGCTGTGGTTTTAGAAGCAGTTTTGGGGTCACCCTTAAACACCCTTAAAAACAGATTTTCGAGGTTGAAACTAGAAGAGAAAAAAAGCCCTGGTGATGCAAAGTGGCACAGGTATTACACAAAGTTGTTATCAAGACAATGTGAAACATTCTTTCATTTCGAAAATGTTTGTATGAAGCCTGCACATTTGCTCACACGGTAGCAGAAAGGTTTATTTTAGCTAACCTGTTAATGCCTGTGTAAAGTTTATAGTGCAAAAAATGCATATATATTATTAAGCAAACAAAATTTTGCAGGTGGAAATAAAACCCAAGGCAAACATGCCAACCTTCAGAGAAAAATGAAAACCAAGAACACTGTCCCATGCTGTCAAATTCGTGGCGATGAGTGCGTACAGTAGTACATATGTAGACTCCCAAAAACGAGCTGGCCCTAACGATGTTATGACTAATGGGTTCAGATATTTCATAGATGTGGTGGTACAGTAGATGAGGACAAGTGTGCTTGCTAAAATTTATTGCAAATACTTTTCAGATCTTTTCGAATGCATAATGTTTTATTTTGTTTTTCTAGAAATTTGATTTTCTTCCTCTGAATGGGCCAATTAAAATGGAAAACCCTGACCATACGTACCACTTGATTGAATACTATGGCATTGTTCCCAACTACATTCCAGAAAAGCCGCATGCCGTGTTTTTTGGACGTTGGGTGAGTTTTAAGGAAATCCTTCCTTTATTTTTCAGTGCTGGCTGATGTTATTCCATGTAAAATTTTCTGGTAATGCCAATTTTGGATGTATCAATGGTTGTTCCGTGGTCCCGTTAACCCATTTTCTCTTCATTTCACACAACGAAGGTCTGCGATGGCCAGAGGTTTCTGAAAAGCCATCTGTCACTCAGGACGCGCAAGTTTATTGCCAATACCTCGATGGATCCCACTCTCTCTGTGATAATGGCGAATATGGCGAGAGTGCAGAAGAACCACATTATCCTCGACCCATTTGTTGGATCCGGTATGCCACTTTACCGATGATATTGTAAACTTTAACGAGATTGCCAAATCTCGTCAGGATAAATTCTATAGCGAAAGTAGATCATTGCCTATGTCAATTTATATTTGTAACATTGAAATACCGAAATTTCAGTTTTGTCATAGCCATAATGTCCAGGTAATATATAGGTTACTTACCTGCGTATTATAGATTCTAATATTATTCTGTGTACGAAATATTTAGAAATTAAGTAGGACCTTTCATAAATGAGTAAAGATAGGTCTGACTTCTTTGCATTAGCTTCTACAGTATCATCAGACTTGAACACTCTATGGTTGAGAAATTGCCAGTTTATCAATAAACAAGGATTAGTCTGCATTGAAAGGATTCGGAGAGACAACCTAGTCAGTGTCGAGAATAAAAGCCACCCGAACATTTTAAGCTACCTTGAAACTTGTGATGCTTTACTACATGGTTTTCTAGCATTAAAGTGGCAGAAATTAAAAGTAGCTTCGCAGGTAAGGCATCGTACTACCAAGCTTGAGGAGATGGGTTTAATCTCAGATTACGGAGGCTGCATTTCAGTGGGGAACAAATGCAAATACTTGTGCACTTAGATTTAGATACATGTTAACAAATGAAGGGTGGTCCAAATAATTGAAACCATTCAGTGTAGTGTGCCTCGTAATTGTACTATGGTTTTGGCACATGAAACCCTCTCAAGTTATTGTTACTTGAAATTAAAAACTCGAAATATTGCCCTCTGTATTTCCTGCTACTTGGCAACCTTTACTGGCCAATAATTTAACATCAATTTTTGCTAAAGTATACTTCATGAGACTAATCTTACTGAAATGTAGCTGCTCGATTTTGATGAGGAAATCACTGACATCTACACTTTCTTGCATTTGTCACCTCCATACACATACGGAGATAGAGGCTTGTGTATGACTGCAGCATTATTGAACCACTTTTCCAAGTTGGTGTGCGCTATGTGTTTGACAAAGAACTTATACTATTACCTTATCTTGTTTGGTACAGGTAGTCTGCTAGTCCCTGCTGCATTCTTCGGAGCGTATGTAGTGGGCACAGACTTGAACTACCTCCTTCTACATGGCAAAGGTTAGTTGGCTGCTCGTCCACTTCATGGTTAAGAATGTGTTTCATGCGCATAATATGATAATGGCCTCACATGTAACTGCTTTATTCCAGGTGGCATTTGCCAGCTTGCTCTCTGCCTCTTTTTTCATGTGTGCTTGTGTATCCGTGTATGCAAATCAAATAAATATAAATAACGAATTCTAAATGTCAAGTGCATGTGTGGGCCAGGGTTTCTGTGTGTTCTCACCGAAAGTAGTCCCTTAACATTGTGCAAAGTTGTGTGGAATGCCTGTTTGTGTTGTCCCACTGTATGCATGTAGTATAGGTACACTTTTACTGAGCTGATGTAAGTTCTA